TATATATATGTATCTATATTTGTATATATCACCTATTCACCATGTGAAGGAAATAAAATTCTTTGTGTTGCAGCTGTCTGGCGCTGAATGACTTACTAAGAGGAAGACCTTTGGATGACATTATAGACAAGATCCCAGAGATCTGGGAAATCCTATTCAGAGTGCAAGATGACATTAAGGTAATGGAAGTGATAACTGGACAGGAATCTTCAACAGAAAGTGCAGTGGTCAAGCTCTGAGGTGTTTGAAGAGAGATTCTGTGAGAAATCAAAAAGAAGCCGAAGGAAATTTTAGGTATTAAGCAGACTAGAAACTCAGGCCCTTTGCAGTCACAATTTCCATGCCAAATTAAAATTTTTTGTCTGTGTTTCTTACATTTTTAAGGTTGTTTTTCACTCCTACTGTACTTATTCTTGATAGTTCAGCATTTTTCCTGGATTTAAAAGAATTCCTAAGTATTTGCTTAACTCTCAGGTGTAGAAACATTTATTCTGGGCTGCTTGTTTGTTTAAATTACCTGCATAAATTAAGTCAGAGTCCTTGGATCCTTCCAGGTTTGAGCAGTGGTCTCTGTGGAACCAGATGTCTCTGCTCAAGTTCAAGCAAGGCTGAGCTGTTCTCCCAAGTGTGCTCTGTACCAGGAAGTTGCTTCCCTGGTAGTACTGTTGTGTTCAGAAATGTTCCTGGGCACTGAAACCAACTGAACAGTTCTGCCTCAATGCTGATGAGCAATATTAGCCTCCAAAACAGAGTAACTGCCTTCAGGTTGCCTTTTGGGGAAGGGTCTAATTCCTGAATTTTACCTGGATATGGTTTGGGAAAGTCTGCTTGTGGCAGGTCAGATTTTTTTCTAAGAATATCCTAAGACATTACCAGTCCAGATGATTGTGTTTCACTACCCAGGAATAGATACTCCTTAATTCATCAGTATGAGTAAATTTTAGAAGAGTCTAGCTGATGGTGGTGTCATGTGCCATAAGAGCTGCACTAATATTACTGTTTGCTTTTAGCCCATCTTTTGCTAGAGATTCAGCTGAGTAAATCATCACCGAGCAACAGGTATTATATTGAGAAGAGGTCAAGCATACTCAAAGCTTGTATATACGCTTTTGCAGTAGAAGGTTCTGGGTTTGGGGTTTGATTTTGGGTTTTATTGTTTGTTTGGGATTTTTCTCCTTAGTGGGGGTTTTCTGTTTTGAAGAGGACAACTTGTGAAATATCAGACACAAACATGAACAGAAGCGTGGTGAACCTGGTGGTGTCACAAGGGATTGTTAATGTATTTGTCATTGAGTATGCCAGATACTCCGATGGACCGAAGCCAATATTTCTCTGAAAAATATTATGTTAAGTACTAGCCATCAATATAGCCTCATCAGAAATAGTGTTATAGTTACCAGTTAATCCCTTAACAATGGATTGCTGACTTCTTTTTTAGGAGACTGTGCGAAAAGCAGCAGAACTAGCCCTAAAAACTTTAAGCAAGGTAAGACTTTAATTTTGTCGTTTTTCACATGTAAACAGGTATGGTTTTGATGTCGGGCAGTCGTTTGCTATCATATATACAGGAGTGACAGTTTACCATAGACTGTTGTCTTGAGAAGATCCCTAGTAAAATGTGCAGTTGTGATAAACAGCACAGCCCCCTAGAAAGCAATTATAATGAGGCTGAACACATGCTCAGTTGTGTTTTTTGTTGATGCTGGTGAAGTTCTACTGTTTGAAGATAGTGGAGTTTTAAGTTCTGTACAATCAAGGGAGGGTATAATGAACTGTTTTGGTTTGTTTTTTTCCTCTGGTGTCATTTTTGTATCCTGATTTGATGTGGGTTTTACAGAAATGTCCCATAACTTCAACAGCTGACCGAGCCTTATAGGACTTCACTGAAACAAAGTAAATCAGTCTGGTGCTGTTGCTGACAGGAGTGTAGTACATGTATCACTTGATATTTTGTTCAGGATTCCTCTAAAAATGTCACATTAGTGGAAACAGAAATGGATCTTAAGAGCTGTGTTTGAAGTCACAGCCTTCACGGTGCATGCAGCATGATATAACATATTCTGAACAGGAGGTTTGTACATGCTTGCAGCACTGATTCTTGTATGTCCCCAGGTCTGTGTGAAAATGTGTGATCCCTCTAAAGGAGCAGCTGGGCAGAAGATGATAGCTGTGTTGCTCCCTTGCCTCCTCGACAAAGGAATAGTAAGCACAGTTGCTGAAGTCCGATCTCTGAGGTTAGTTTTGTGTTATTTGAGTTCTCAGGGGTCAGGCCATGATTTGTCCCAAAAAGACCCAATTGATTCACCTGAGTTGCACAGTGCTGCGTTTGAACTGACAAATTTCTCCTCAAAACAGCTTTCTTGCTGAGTCCTCTTCTTACTGCATTCAAACAGCAGCCCAGAGAACTCTACCTGTCTTTTGGGAGTATCTGGTTTCTCTGCATATGCCCATGTTCAGTTCCCAGAAGGGAGTTCTTTTCTGCCTTAACAACTGACAAACTGCTCTGCAAACAGTTTACTGTGCTCAAGGCTGTCCTTCAGGATTGGCATGTATCTGTTCTGCTTGCAAACAAGAAATCTCTTGGTAGCTCTTGAAACAGCCAGGTCTTATTTCATGACTGGTAGTGAGTAAGGACAGTTCACATCCCAGAGGCAACTGCGTTTGGTCACACTGTTCAGATACATTTTGTGTCTTGTAACGGTTCCATGCCCCTTGATGTGTAGGCACTTCATGTGCTTGTCACTTTGTAACCTTGTTTATTCCTTTATTTGCTTGAAGGACAGACAAGCTCTGTCCTTAAAGAAAGGAAAAATCAAACTGGGGACGTAGCTGGTCTTTGCAGAAAAATTTTCTTTTATCAAACACTATTATCCAGGAAGGTTAGAAAGCTCCTAACAAATATAGTGAATATTTCTTGGATGTTTTCATCCCTTTTGGAGATATGAAAACCCTTTGTGAAAATGCAGCCTGAGAAATGCAGTGACTCTGAAACTTAAAAGTGGGATTTGAACATATCATTGTGATTTATTTGTTTCTTGGGCAGAGACAATGGATATCTCTAGGGTGACATTGCCCAATACTTCTTTAAAACATGATTTTCACTATTTCTTCTTACATCTGTCTCTAATACTGCCGCTTTGCCCATTCCCTTTGTAATATCTTGGCCAAAGTAACTAATCCCTGTGAAAAGCACAGGGCTAGGGTATGATTTTTTTTTAAGCATAAAAATACACAGATTTTTGTTTGCAGGTAGATTTATATTGATGTATCTAAGATTCAGACTGGTGTTTTTGTTAGTACTGGATTAGAATAGACTAGAGAGGATTTTCAGCCAAGCCTGTGTGTTTCTGTGTTGACCTTCCTTTTGACCTTTTTCCAGCATTAACACTCTTGTGAAGATCAGTAAAAGTGCTGGATCTATGCTGAAACCTCACGCACCGAAACTTATTCCAGCTCTGCTGGAATCCTTGAGTGTGCTTGAGCCTCAGGTCCTCAATTATCTGAGTCTTTCTGCAACAGATCAGGAGAAGGTAAGTGCAATTCTAATGTTAAAGTATCAACAGAACAGAGATAACAAAGCTTTAAGCTTCATTTGGTGAACAGAAAAATAGCAGATTTGGCTGAGAGGTATTCAAAGATGCAAAGAGAAGTAGCTAATAAGGTACTAAAAAGTTTGGTCATTGGAATATGGCTGGACAAATGGGGTTTTTGCAGGGTTGGAATTTTTTTTTTTTAATTCGTTAGACGAACACATATTTCAGGAAGTGAAGAACAATCCTATTAAGAACTGTTGTGAAATATTGCTTCAGCTCCATGTACAACAGTGAACCAGGTGAAGAGAGAGTGTGTGACTATTAGCTGGAATGCACCTGTACTGTCAAGCTTTGCTGCTGTTTTTTCCTGGGGAATTAACTGCAGGACTTGTTATAAATGAGAAAGTGTGCTGTAGCACTGTGGGCGGGAGACAGATATTGTAAGCAGTATGTCCTTTAATCTGTCTCAAAGACTATATTAATCAGTATCAGTCTTCTGGGGAAGTGACAAACCCACTCTTCAGAGGCCAGTTTAGCTAACTTCATTGTGGGGAGGGAAAGGGTTCAAGCTCTGCCCTTTGCAAACAAGAAAGGACTGAACAGTATGTCAGAGGAGGATTTTTGTTCTCTTCCCCCCCTCCTTTTTTTTCTTTTTTTTTTTTCTTCATTTCCATGATGCCAGGAGTGCATCGTTTACCTCCTGTGCTACAGCTAGAGAAACCATCTGCCTCTGAAAGGTAGACATTCACCATCTATAGGCATAATTACTTTCTATCTGTATACATCAGAAGTAGATTTTGGGTTGAGCTTGTGAGGTCGTGAGTTATAGCTGGTATTGCCCTTTACACTATTTTCATGTTGAGTTTACACTTAGTTTTGGTTTTTTGCCTTTTATTTAGACTGCAATGGATAGTGCCAGACTTAGTGCTGTGAAGTCATCTCCCATGATGGAAACCATTAACATGGTAAGTGCTTGATTCGTAAGTGTTCCAGTGTAAGGTATGTTGTAGGAGAAGAGTAGGAATGAGATATGGGAGCTTGAGAGAATACTTCTTCAGAGTTTGTTTTATTGCCACATCTCCGTGTGGATGGCTGTACACCTTCTTTCTCATGTACTGACTTCTCTAACCCTGTTGCCACAGCGTGCTCCTCAGATCAGCTGTGAATAGCTTTGGCTCCATTTGGAGTTAGACGATGTCTGGCACCATAGTTTCCTGCTGCTGGAGGAGGAGTTGTTAATGCCCAAACACTTTAATGGAAGAACAGGTTCTGATCCACCTCTTGGACAGTTTATCAAACAGTTTTCTAGAGGATTTCCTGAATTCCTTAGACACTTCTTGTATGGCCATGATGCAGGTCTGTAGGGGATGGGAGAGACTGCCTTAATACTGCTGTACTTGGTTAGCCACTTCATTCACAGTTGGTGTCTTGACACCCCCTCCACAGATCATTGTCAACAAGGTGTAGGAATGTATTGGTAGTTTCCTCTGCACAAACTTCTGCATCACAGGTTGGCGGTGTGGCGTTCCATCAGGGTCCACAATTAACATCCTTTACTATAAATCATCTATCGTAGAGCTACTTCTCTTGGATACTCAATACCTTTTTCCATGGGGGTCCACTTGCTTGGGCAGCATTCAGTGTTGCGTTCAAAGGGATACCTGCTCTCACAGCTGACAAGAGTCACCTCTAGAGGCTGAGAGTTTTTCTTCTTCACAAGCATATTGTCAGGGCCTGTGTTTTTGGCCAGAGATCCCAGCTGCCTGGCTTCTCTACCATCCCAGTTTATGTTGTTAACCCCTTTTATCCCAGCATTGGAGCAACCAGGTGGTAGGCAGCTCACCTGTGTGATGGCTAGAGTCCGGCTCCCTGCCCTCACTAAGGGCCTGTCTTTTCCCAAAGAAAAGACCCCTCTTTTCTGCTCAGGCACTGCACACAGCCAGGGGTAGGGGAGCAGCCAGAGGGTGTGAGTGCAAAGCAGGTTTTAGGTGGAGCATAGCCACCAGGGCTATTCTTTTTCTTGTGCTTGTGGAAGAGTAGCAACAGCAAGCCCTCCTGTTTGTAACAGCCTGTGGAGCGACGTTTTGGTGTCAGGTGGAGCACTCCCTATAAATAGTGTGTAAAGCAACTGGGTATGAAAGGCTTTGTGTAAAAGTGTACTCCCTGCCACCCTGCAGGCTGTGGCAGCTGCTGCTGTCCCTCCTCTAGGCCATGCCTCTCCCCCACCAGCCCTGGAGGGATGGTTCTACTGCCCTGGTCAATGCTTGAGGTTTCCTAGGGGGAGGGAGGGATACTATGGCTTTCCTGGAGTAGCAGGAAGATGTCCTGGCTTATGAGCAACTTTCTCCCAGTTCCTCTAGATTCTGGATCTGGCTGGAAGATCATATGATACGATGGATTATTCCTTTTGCCATACCAGTGCAGGACAGGGAAGTGACAGTGGATCTTATTTCTGAAGCTCGTAGAGGGTTACTGTCAGTTGGTATATGATGCTTGAATTGGCTAGAGGATGTATCTCCGTCTGCAGACAGTGTGCTACACATAGTGCTGGTAACATGAGGCTTGCTGTTTTGCCTAGTGACGTTTTAAGCATAGGAGATCAGAAATTATACCAGTAACATCCCTCTTGTACCTTTATATGTCATTTATACCACTTGTTTGCCTTGACCTTTTTAAAAACTGTCTTAACTAGTTTTGCTTCATTGTCTAGTTTGGATATATGATTGCTTCAGAGTTTCAGACAGGGTGATGTTGCATTTTGTCCTAGGGTATATGCACGCCTTTGCATCTCTTTCCTTTCCAGAAAGGAGTTCTTGCTAGTACAGCTTTCTAAAGGGCTGGAGTGCAGGACTGCTGACTATGTCAGTCCCAACAAATGATGGTTTTAGCAGGGTCAGCTCAGCGTGGAAGTGGCACAAGAGAATCTGTATGTGGTGGAAGTCTCTTTGTGGTGCCTTTCTCCCACTGTACATCAAACTCTGATGATTCAACTGAAAACCAGCCTGCAGAACTGAGGCAGGCTTCGTCTGGAAGTAAACCAGATTAAATTTGCCACCATTGCCTATCTTTTTTCTTTCTTTAATTTGTTTTTGCCTGTCCGTTACCTTTCTTTAGAGCTTGCAGTATTTGGATGTGTCTGTCCTGGGTGAGCTTGTTCCTCGTCTGTGTGAACTGATCAAAAGTGGCGTAGGCCTTGGCACAAAGGTATGTCTGTGATTTTCTTATTTCATTTGGAAATGGAGAAGGGAACACCGAGCAGTGTCAACATAAATGCGTTTCTTTAGACTGTCTCTTTTTAAAAAAGTGACAGCTTGGGCTCATTCCTACTGGAGTCATTTTACATCTCGGTCCACCTACATTACTTGTGATTTTCTGAATCTTTGCTGCCTTCACCTCCCCTGGGCTACCTGGCTGTAATACTCTGTGACTTCTGAGTGCAGAAGGTTGTCCTCAGTAGATGTGAATCTTCCAGGACCATCTGTCCTGAGTGTAGGACCTGGTAACTTTTTCACTTCTTAATTAAATTCTCATAATTCATTACAAACTGGTTTTCTGCTGCTACCCTTAGCTTATCAGGGCAAAGGCTTAGTGGGCCTAGATCATATCATACAAGTGCATATAGCACTGCAGCAAGTACTAACGGTAATAACGAGGGGCTAGTATTGTTTTATCTTAACTTTTTTTTTACCCTTGCAATCTTCCAGGGAGGCTGTGCCAGCGTAATTGTGTCATTGACCACACAGTGTCCTCAGGACTTAACACCTTATTCGGGTAAGGTTTGTTTCTAGTGTCGGGTTTCAAAGGCGTGTTTTGTTCTGTAGACAGGATTTCCTCCATATTGCCCCTTGATTTTATCATGAGAATGGTCTTCACGTGTGTTTTCCTGAGGGAGCTATTTGGAGTTGCCTTGTGTATGTGAGATTGGCATGCTGAGATTAGGTCCTGAGGGTATTGAATACCATGGAATCGTAAAATCATTATGTTTGGAAAAGACCTTCAAGACCATCAAGTCCAACCATTACCTAACTCTGCCAGGCCCAATTCTAAACCATGTCCCTGAGCACCATATCTAGATGACTTTTAAATACATCCAAGGATGACGATTCAGTCACTTCCCTGGGCAGCTGGTTCCAGTCTTCGATAACCCCTTCAGGGTAGAAGATTTCTCTGACGACTAACCTAAACATCCCCTGTCTTAACTTGAAGCCACTTCCTCTTGTGCTATTAGTTGTAATTTGTGAGAAAAGACCAACATGCACCTCTCTACAAACTCCTTTTAGGTGGTTGTAGAAAACAATTAAGTCTCCCCTCAGCCTCCTTTTCTTCAGACTAAACAAGCCCAAATCCTCACCAAGTTGAAAGAGGGAGAGCAAGCACCCAGCAGGAGCAGGTGGAGATATCTCTAAACCTTCTTGGAGTTAGTAATGCCTGTGTTAGTGCAGTCCTGTCAGTAAGCACTCGTTCTTTCAACTTGAGCTATGAGAGGACTGTGAACATGGTCTTTGCTTCCTTGGGCATTAGTCTTCTCTGTACAGTTTACTGTGATTTGATAGTAGAAAGAAGGTCACCTTTCGGTTACAAAATAGGACTAAAGCTAAAAGCATGATCAGCTGGGCTGCTCGCATACAGGAACTTAATCGGTCAAAGCATGCAGGCAGAAACTGGCCAAACACTATCTTTTATTGAGCCTTGCTGTGTTAGTCTGTTCATTTGTTTAACCATAAGGACCAGGCTGACCTAAAATCCTGCAAACATAGACTTCTAGATTCATAGAATGTGTTGGGCTGGAAGAGGTCTTTAAAGGTCATCCCTGCAGTGAGCAGGGTCGTCTGTAACTAGATCAGGTTGCTCAGAGCCCCATGAAGCCTGACCTTGAATGTCTCCAGGGATGGGGTGTCCACCACCTCTCTGGGCCACCTGTGCCAGAGTTTCATCACCTCCATGCAATGAAGCAAAAATGCATAAATTCAGGCTATTGTAGTTCCTGCCATGGCAATTAGAACATGATATTTCTGATAAAGCAAAGTCTTTTCCAACAGGCAAACTTATGAGTGCTTTACTTAGTGGCCTGACTGATCGCAACAGCGTGGTACAGAAGTCCTTTGCTTTTGCTATGGGGCATCTAGTCCGGGTGAGTTGGAGTTTAAGATGATTTTAGGTTTTGTTTTACTTTTTTTATTGTTTGGGGTTTTCTTGAAGTGTTTGAGTGATTTGAGTCTCTAACCTGTTACAGACTTCCCGGGACAGTAGCACTGAGAAGCTGCTGCACAAACTCAGCAGTTGGTACATGGAGAAGGAAGGTATGTTGCTCTTGGGGTGTTCCGTTGCAGAGTACAGTGCAGAAAAAGTTCCTGGCAACAGCAAAAGCTGGCAAAGAAACATTTCTATATTGTGATGCTCAGTTTCACTGGCTGAATAATTCCTGTGCATCCTGATACATTCCTCTGTGCATTCCTCTGCTTCCTAAGAGGCAGACCAAGCTGTTTAACAAAAATCCTGCTTCTCAGTCATAATGTGTGGTTGTTCTGCTCTTTCAGAGCCAGTTTACAGAACAGGGTGTGCTTTAACTGTGCATGCTGTGGGACGCTACAGTCCGGACGTGGTGAAGAACCATGCTAAACATGTGCTGCCGTTGGCTTTTCTTGGAATGCATGAGGTTCCCGATGAAGAGAAAGGAGAGAAAGAGAATTCTACTCTGTGGACTGAAGTTTGGCAGGAAAACGTACCTGGTAAGTTGCGATAAGAATTGTAAAAGTTTTCTGGGAAGCACAGGTGTCAAGGGTTAGGGCTGGACTGGGTACTAGACACATAAGGGGTGATCTCTATTAACCCTTCTCTCTTCCCAAAGGGTAGGAGAAAGGGAATAAGGGAGAGAGACTTACAGGTTGGAAACTAAAACAACTATAATGAAACAAAACCAATAAACCAAAAAGTTAGTAACACTAATAAGAAAATAAAGAAAGTAGTGAAATATTTACAGAATCAAATATTTACAAACCCAAATATTTACAAAATCAATATTGACCCCACTTCCCCAGTGGCAATCACGTCACCGCTGATGTTGCGGAGATGGCACAGGGGAAGTTCCAGACTTTCTCAGAAGCAGATGAGAACTGGATTTGAGAACTCAAGGATTGGGATCAAAGGCAGAACAACAGACTGAGTCCTCCTCAGATGCTGGCCATGGAAGAAGAGAGATGAACACTTGTGATGGCTCAGCTTTCTACTGAATATGACATATATGGGCTTTGCTGGTCAGATTTGGGTCACCTGTCCACTTCTCCCCGCAGATGTGATCTTTTACTTACTTATGATCCTTTTATTTTACAGCACCCCCAACGTGGGGCACAAGATTTAATAGTGACCTTGAAAACTATAGGAACAAGTATAAGCAAGAGCCTTTCTGCATGCCAGTCCTGGCAGTAGCTAGAAACATCAGGCACTACCACTTCTGGTAGCAGACACTATCTGCAAAAACGTGATGTTGACTTCAGAAAGTCCAGCTTCTTACTGAGCAGAAAAATAAAATCACTGGTTCTGTTCTAGCTCAGACCAGGACAATGGGGCAAGAAATATCATGCTTTCTGGAAATATAGAGTTCTCATGGCAAGAGATTTGGGAAGCTTGTTCCCATATTCTTCCTTGCTAAAGGTGTCCTGTATGAGTTTTGGCAGGTTAGTTTCTCTGTGGCTATTTGAAATAATCACAAAGGTGTTGATTGCTCCTGAGAGAGTCAGGAGAATGAAATTGTGAGGCACTGAATGCTGCTGTAACATGGCTGTGATCCTAGCAGCTGAACATCTGTGGAAATTTTGATGCCAGCCTCTAAGGACTGGTGCACACTCTGAGGTTAAAGGGGGCCGTGGCCTGTGTCTTGGTTTGGGGATCTCCCTGGTGATGCCTGTGGTTTTAACTTCAGTGAGTGAATCTGTGCTACAGAAGGGCTACTTTGCCATGCTTTCTGTGTGTGGAAGAAATGTGGATGCATGGTGAAATGGTTTTGTTGACTCCTTCTCTGACCTGATTTTGGATGTGGTCCCTCAGTCACTTGATTACTTTTCTGGAGTTTGTGACGGGAGCTACAAAAAGGTTTTCCAGTGACTTGCTCTTGGAAAAAAAAAAAAGTTATATTCCTTAAAAACAGGCTGACGCAATGCCTAATTGCCCTGTGGAAGGACTGAGGTGAGCACTTTGTCTAGGTACATGCTAAAGATTTTCCTTGAGCACCTGGAAAACACATTCATCTTCAATCAGCCTGGGAGGGATTCTTCACACTTTTGCCTGAAGTAGGCATACCTGGTGTGTTTCGTGGGCAAAAAAAACCAGATAAACCTGCAACTGCTTTTTTTTTTATTTCTTAGCAAGATCAGACTTTTTTTTTGGTTTTCTGGCAAAAGTACAATTTTCCTCTGTTTGACTCATAGGCACTCAGGGCGGCATCAGGCTGTATATGCAGGAGTTGATAACCATTACCCAGAAGGCTCTGCAGTCCCAGTCCTGGAAGATGAAAGCCCAGGGAGCAGCTGCCATGGCATCAATTGCCAAACAGACGGGCTTCCTTGTACCACCACATCTGGGAATAGTGCTCTCCGCTCTGCTGCAAGGCCTGCCAGGAAGAACCTGGTCTGGGAAGGTAAGAAAGGAACTGGCACTTTGTTGGTCACTGTGAGCACCAGCATGTGGCCCTTGAGCCAGGAGGTGCAATGTTCTGTGTTGCGGAGCAGCACGTGTAGGAACTCTTGTCTTAGGGACCCTGCCTTTTGCCCTGCATTTAGCAGATACAAAAACTACAGGGAAAATAAATAGGTGTTCAGACTGCTTTAAAAGTTGTTTCCACTTGGACTGCTTCCATGGCACTATGTTCTAGCCTTGAGAAGTACTCACTTGTGCTCAGAGGTGCTGCAAGGCCCCTTTCCACTGAGAGCAGATGGAAAACCAAGTCCTCTTGCGACCTCTACAGCAGGAGTTGCAGGAGCCAGACATTGCTGCTAGGCTGGCGCTATAGGTGTATTTCTCCACTATCTCTTGTAGCAGAGCATAAAGGTTTGCCCTGTGCGGCGGGGCTGTGCCACTGGCTGTGTAGCATTTCTCAGCAGTACCTGTTTTGCTTCTTGCAGGAGGAGCTGTTGAAGGCCGTTGCCAGCGTCGTCTCTGCCTGCAGGTAAGTGTCTTGAAAGAGGTGGCACCTTCAGGACCTGAGATCTCAAAAAGGAGGTGGTTGCACAATGTTGTTGCCTGTCTGATGCTAAGGAGACTGGAAAGTTGTGAACACCATCCTGATCTCCTGTCAGCATGTGAGGAGTCTTTCCTCTTGTCAGTGTGTGGGGTCACTGGTGAGAGCTAGGAGGCACAAGGAATGCTTCAGAGGGACCAGCGGGCGTCAAACCTTGATTTAGGGCGAGGGAGAGGATGTTGAGAGGCCAGGATTGCTGAGAAAAAAAAATAGACTGAGAGGAACGATGGACACTTTAATGGGGAAAAAAAATTAGAGGTAGAAGGGTGAGGGGGAAAAGTGCATTGGAGGCATATGAAGAAAAACAGGGTTAGACAGGGTGAGAATGAAGAAGAGCACCAGAGCGTACCTTCAGTTTACAACTGTTGGTAGGCAACCCGATGCCCAGACATAGGAATTACTTCCTACCTGAGGAAAGAGCAGTGTTTGGGAAGGAACTAATGTGGGTCTGATAGTTTCTGTATGCCTTGTGTTTCAGTGCAGAGCTGCAGAAGTCAGTGCCTGGGCAGCCCACTGTCAGTGATATTGTCCAGGCTGTCCTGAAGGAGTGTCGGAAAGAGAACCTAAAGTATAAGATGGTGGCTTTGCGCTGTGCTGGTGGGGTGCTGCAGGCAACAAAGGAAGACCGGTTCCAGGAGCTGGCAGATATCATCTTTCCCATGATAAAGAAGGTGACAGCTTCTTGAGTTTTCCCTCTTTGAAAGCAAAACACCTGAGTGGTGACAGTCCAGCTGATGCTGGTCGCACACTAGACTTTGCTCAGCAGCCTGCTGATGTGAGGATTACCCTACACTCAGCTAGATCCTTGGTGGGTCTGAATACCAGACTTCTGGTGAGCTCTGGGTGGGTTGTACCTGTGCTGCCCAAACTGAATTATCCCAGCCTGTGGTGTCCAGCACTGGCCCAAAACAGTGTTAAAAGTGAATTCCTGCCTGCTCTGCAGGTGGCAAGAAACTCCTAGGAAGCTGCGTAGGCTCCTTGTGTTTAGTATCCACAGTGCAAGCAGGACTGGTGCAGCACAGGCAGATGTTCGGACACAGGGCTGTGGAGCCTGCTCTGTGCTGCTGCAGGCTGCCGATAGTGCCGGAGCTTCTGGTGGCCAAGGGGACCTGTGCCCCCCCCATATGGAGGCACTGACTGGGTGCAAGGACCGGTGTGCACAGGCTGCCAGGGAAGACTGAGTTGCTCTGAAGTGTGTGGCTAGCCTGCCGTCATCCTTCTGTCGATCATACATTCCCCCCATGGCCTCCACAGAACTCTTTTGAGAGCATGGGCACGGGTTTACCAAAGCATGACGAAGAGGACGAGGACATGAAGGAGAAGGAGATGCAGATGGAGTCCCTGATCTGTGCTTTTGAGACCCTGGGCAAAGCCTGGCCGAGGAGCCCAGAGACACAGTGTAAGTCAGCTAATGGTGTGCAAAGCCGACTTTCTTGGCTCACACTGTTTCCTTTTACAATGAAAAGCGGGAAGAGATCATGCTGGGTTTGGGGAGGCTTTTGAGGAGGTGCAGGACCTCGCTGCCTGTGGCTTGCAAGGTCTTCAGTGAGAAAGTTGCCACAACAGCTTTCCCACAAGAGTAGCCCATCCTTGAGGAAATCCCTTCAGTATTGTCTTAAATTCACTTTACCCAGCTTCTCTGAGTTTGTGGGCACATACAGGATGCCTGAGGGGGCTTGCCTAATCAAAAGCAGCCTAGTTCTGCTGCTCACATTTACATTTCCATCAAAGCTGCTACAAGGCAGAGGAACTGAGTGTATCCAAAAAGCCCAAACAGGTTGCGTATGTAAGCATGCCAGAATGTATAATACAGCTGTTTATCTTCTGACGTTTGTTAATGAGGGTGCAGATGTGGTGAGTATTTTCAGGGTGCTGACTTTGTCATGTGCAGTGACAGGCTTGATGTCAACTGGAGAGGAGCACAAGGAACACCTTGGGGACAGAGCAGGAAGTGTTTCCTTCTGCCTTTCACTGTAGTAACACAGTGACATCTTTATTTTTCTGTAGGTTGCTATCGCAGGGAGTTCTGCAAGTTAATGTGTGACCGTCTGAAACTCAGCACGTGGAAAGTGCAGCTTGGAGTGCTACAGGCCATGAATGCCTACTTTCAAGGGTAATTCTCCTTTCTGCAATCCACTTTGATGGTGTTTCTTTTCCTTCTTGCTTCAAACTTCTGAATGAAATTGAGGTTGACACTTGGAGGAAACTGGAGCAGATTTCTGTCCCAGTGATGTAGGGTGTCTGACTGGGTTTTTGCCTTTGGCAGGCTAATGCTGTTTGATGAGGAACACTCAGACCCTGTGGCTTTGACAGAAATACTGCTGGAAACTTCTTCATCTATCACCCATTCTTTAGGTAAATGGACTTTTTCCTGGTTTGTGGTTGATGGTGAGTGGCTTGCTAATACATTCCACCTCTGAGGGTTGACTGGTAGAGTGAGTGCAGAATCATCAGCTGTAAGAGGTAACATTTTGCCCTTGTTTGCACTGTGCTGTAGTAAGTTTGATGTTGCAGTAGCTGTTCCAGCCAGTACTGTGCAGGGCGCTGTGCACAGGGAGGTAAATTCCTCTGGTGCAAGAGAGCTTTGAAGGGGAAGGGAGAGGCAGACAGCAGACTCTGCAACCTCTCAGGAGTGCAAATCAGAACCATAGTAATTTTCTCCCTGTAGGAGATGGACCCCACATACTCTAACTATTACTGACTTAATGAAGTTTTTCTCCTCTGTAGTTCAGACTTCTTGAATATAGGCGTTGGAGAGACTCTAAATTTTCTCATTCAGCCAGTGAATGAAGCTCCAAGGCTTTGAGACAGTTTGTGCTCTCCCTCAGAATGCTCCTGTGGAGATATAAGCACTACCCTATGTAATGCTGACAGTCAGGGGGCTGTTTATTACTTTCATAGTGTTCCCACTAGTCCTGTGACGGTGACAGTGCCCCATGCCTCCTCATACCTGCATGCATCTCTTCTTTCTGGTATGCCTAAAGGCAGCACCTACTTAAGAGCTAGCTACCAATCCAGAGACCTCTTTGGGGAAAGCTGCTTTCAACTGTCAGTCTTCCTGGAATGAGACTTGTAACAAGTTTTTAGCTCAGGAGACCAAATACCTTTTTGTGACAAGGTTGCACTTGATGGCACGGAGTTTACGTAGCCTTACTTAATGCTGCTTGTTAAAATTTGGCTGGTTTCTTGCCATTGCAACTTAGCAGAAGAAACAGTCTGTTACCCTGCAGCTGTGCCAGCATCGTTCCCTTTCAACATACGTAAGGAGTGGTAGCACTGTACTAATCGCAGAGGCAGCTCCCAAGGTTCAGTCAACCTGTCAACCTCTAGTTGGTCACTCTCTGCCACTCTGATGTGTCCTAACTGGGGAGCACTGCTGACTGCCAGCATGAAGGTGCTCAGTGAGCTGTGCTAACAAAAGCAGTGTGGAGACCACAGTGGTGACTGGATGCCTTTGGTTCTTTGGTGAGCTGGTTGTTTTTGTTTGGTTTTGTTTTTTTAATCTCTTTAGAAAACAAAAGCTACACCTCCATAAGAACAGAAGCTTTGTCTGTGATACAACTGCTGCTCACCAAACTGCAAGGTGAGAATTTTTGCTTGCTTGCTACCTGGGAGAGCCACTGTTTGGTAAAGAAGGCACCTGGGTGCATGGCCTGGAACCCTGGAGAGGTGGTGTTCAGCACTGAGTGATGTCGGGGCAGTGGGAGTTCTGTGTTTGGTGTGACTGGTGATATTTGGGGAGAGCTTGAAGTAACTGTGGATAAATTCCAGGTCTAAGGGACTTCTGGATACTCCTTGGGTGAGGAAAGTGTCTGGCAAGGAGGGCCTCAGGCAGAGTGCCCAGGACTGTGTGCAGTCAGATTCTGCCTCACATGCAAGCTCCGTAGAGGGGAGATCTCCTGTTTGTGCAGAGGCATAATTTTTACCCTTTCAGTGCCAATTTTATTTCCGTGCTGTTAATTTGGGATTTAAGCCTTGCAGAATTTAGAGAGTGAGTCTACATAGGTCTCAAGACCATAAATGTCATCATTTCCGGTAGCAAATGTTTCCTTTGGGGTTCTGCTATGAACTTCATGTTTTCTTATCCTAGCAAAAATCTTCTTACATTGCCTGAACCGGTTGTGAAGTGCCTTTGGTTCTTTGGGCCTGTGTTTTCTCACATTACAGGCTGAGACAGTCAAGCCTCATCTAAGCAGGCATGACTCCCTGTGCAGGAGGCAGCACATGCACCTGAGTGTCCATTTGAACTTGCCTCCTCCTGGAAGAGCAGTAGGGACTGCGAGTGAAATGTTGAAGCAGTTGCTCTTTCAGCCTCTCTGAGGATGGAGACAGCTTCCTGGGGTTTTTTGGCATTTGATGATTCATGTCTGGTGTCTGTCTGTCTTTATCTACACAGAAACTCAACAGTGGGAAAGCCTGACACCAGAGAGCAGAGAGCACCTCATCCGTTCATTGTCTACAATGGCGTCAGATAGCAGACCCGAGCTGCAAGAGAAGGCATTTATGTTGAAGAAAACACTTGAAAATCTTGACTAAGTTGTAAAGCAAACTACAAAGTGCCATGTAAAACAAAAACAAAAGAGTGCAGTGGTCTGAAAACTTGAGTGGGAAAGTGAAGATTATTCTGTAGCATGCATCATTCCTGGCCAAAATAAAAAAACATGCCTTAAATTCTTTTCCCCGTTAATGTTATTATTACTCTTATAAGCTGATGGCTAGTTGTTTGTTTTTTTTTTCAGTAAATACCTCTAACAGTCTGCCCTAGAATGTTTGTAAGTGTGCAGCATAAAAATGTTGCGGGCAAAATACTTTTTTTTCCTTTTCTTTAAATCAGCAAAAGAATGTTACTCAGATCCCCTTTGTCCTTCAAAGGAATTCTTGAAAAACCACCAGCACAGGAAGTGAAAAGCGTATTTGATTTTCACTTACGTCGTGTGTGGAGCTCTGTTACCTGGTGTCTAAACAGTAAACCTTCGGGACTCTGCAGTAGAGCTAGTGTTTGTCTGTAACAAATGAAATGCTCCCCCTGATGAAGGCCATATTAAACTCCCTCGGTTTCCCAGGGGCAGGGTTTCCTCTGACACCCGCCTCTGCTTCTTCTGCTTGCTCCTTCCTCCCTTGCAGTCCGTTGTCCGTGAGTTACGAAAGGCAGAGTACTGTTAACTTCGCTCCTTCCTCCTTCTCTGACCTCAGCATGGACTGACTGAGACTATGCCTTCCCTGGCTAGCAACCTTGGCCTCCCAAACTTTAAATGAGAACTTTTTTCCTCAAAGGATGCACAAGAGAGCACTTTACTGAGCTGTGTGGGACAAAGATGGGCCTAGTTGGTGCCCAGGTGGAACACTGCTCTTCTCAAAATTGTTTTGCATGGACACTGCTCAGCTGCAGAAAAAAAAAAATAGAAAAACAATCTTTTCTAGGTATGTTTTTGAAGAGTGTTCGAAGTTTGCAATGACAAGTTTTTTTAATAGTGGTGATGTTTTATTCCCTTCCTGTTCGTAACCCTGTTCTTGCTTTGGAAACCCGTAACAATTTAGACTTGTCGATATTTGTAAGAAACTGAATCATCTGTCATTTCTTAGCAGCCCAAGTCATGCTGGTTTCTAGCAAATACTTTTAATTTGCACTTAAGAAGAAAGATTTTATCTGCATTACTGTGGAGTAAAATTGCTATATGATGATGTGGCCATGCTGCCTGTCTTTTTTTTTTTTTTTTCCTTTTGCCCTCCTGAAATAAAACACAAACCCTGATCACTATAGCAACAGATTTTTAATAGTGTAAAGTGAGCACTGCACCATAATCTGACCAGTATGTGTACAGCTTTTTGGGGATAAATGCTTTGCTGATGGTGAAATAAAATCATTAGTGTGGGCACTATCATGTCCATGGCTTTCAGCATAGAAAAGCTTGTTTTTTTCTTAAAGTCTGCTGCTCCTTTCAGATTCGACCTATTAGGGAGAGGGTTGCTCAGATGTCACATTTCCTCCATGCCCATTTACTCAGAATCAGGTATGCAGTACCTGCTTTTCCCTCAGGTGCCATTTCCCATTCCGGTACTGTAACACTTTGTCTGACTCGCTCTCCACAGGAAGGGAGGAATGCAATTTGTGCACAACTGGTAAGAAAATGTCAGCAAGGAGTGGGTGGAGCTGTCCCACGGTGGCTCTCTCGTAGCAGAAACCTCAGCGAGCACTATTGCATTGTACACTAGAACTGGTCAGTGGGCAACTCCTTGGTGCTGGGAGCTGGTGCTATAATGTTTTGATTTACACCTTGTTGCAGGGAGCTGCTCTTTGTTTATGTGTAGTTTGAACTATTGAGCACAGTGTACATTTTGAAATTTTACTGGGCAAATCACTTTGCAGTATCTTTGAGAACTTGCTCACCATGACATGTAGTGTCATGAGTGCTTTTGTTTTATTTTGTTTTGTTTTTTGTATTAGATGATGAATTTTACTAGTGATGCTTTGCTGTAGCAGTTCATTGTCTGACTTGGGGTTTTTTCATATTGGTGAGTGACAGTAACAGAAAAGCCAGAGCCTCCACATCTCTGGTAATGTGAGTTTTCATTGTGGACTGGAGTATTCAGAGGCAATGCCTAATATGGTCAAATGACCATAAGTAGAATAACTGTAATCGTTGTCAATAGCAACCTGAATTTCTGTATTGGGGATTTACATTAGAGGGAAGAGCTTATTCTAGGAACTCTACAAACAGCTGGATTAACAGCTCTGGCCGAGAGTGTTAGGAAGGTTAGAGATGGTATAATGCGTTCTGAATCACAAAGCAATATGTCTTTCTCGTGATTACAGAACAGATTCAGAGCTCCTCTCTAAAGCATGTGCCTATACACAAAACCTACCTGTACAAAAGTTAATTCAGTCAGAGGCTTGATTTCTGCCCCCCTCACATTTGTAAACTTAACAGGATTAAACATAAATAAATAAATAAATAAATAGATGTGGCCTTCCTAGAGTTTTTCCTCTAAAAGTGATTGCACTATGTAAAACACACTGTACTTTGCCCAGCATGGGCATTTCTTGTGCTGCTGCAATGCTTTGTATACCTGGAGTGCAGTGCGCAGACATGGCTCTAGCACTCACATTCTGACCTACAAGCTGTTGCTTAAATGGATGTATATTAAGAAAAGTTTTCTAATGTTGCAAGATCTCCATCAAATTCACTGCAATCTGTACTGTCGAAGTATGTGAATGGTCTGACTGAAAGAAAACCCTCCTGCTTACCAAAAAGGTAAAATTAAATAAAAGCTGCATGACCTGTTCTCCGAAGTGACTGGTCGTGTTTTTTAATCCCAGTGCAAGTTCAGGTGTTCCAAATGTGGTCTGCCTTTGTGTTCTGCTTGGGCCTGACCTCAGGCCCCTCGCCTGACAGTGGTGGTACTGATGCAGCCCTTGGTCTGAGTGTCATCTGTTCAGGCTGAGGCTGGCTGTGTTAAACATAGAATCGTAGAACAGTTTAGGTTGAAGAAGACCGTCATACCGTTAACTCAGCACTGCCAGGTCCACCACTAACCCATGTGCCCAAGTGCACATCTGTACATCTTTTAAATACCTCCAGGCAGGGTGACTCCGCCACTTCCCTGGGCAGCGTCATCCAAAACTTGACAACCGTTTCCATGAAGACATTTTTTCCTAATATCCAACCTAAACCTCCCAGGGTGCAACTGGAGGCCATTTCCTCTTGTCCTGTCACTTGTTACTTGGGAGAAGAGTCCAACCCCCCACTTGGCTGCAACCTCCTTTCAGGTAGTTTTAGAGAGCAGTAGTGTTCTCCCCTGAGCCTCCTCCAGGCTGAACAATCCTGGTTCCCTCAGCCACTCCTCAGAAGACTTGTTCTTGAGACCCTTCACCTTCAAGAGAAGGGCTTTGTTGCCCTTCTCTTGACCTCCTCCAGCACCTCTTTCTTGTCATGAGGGGCCCAAAACTGAACACAGGTTTTGAAGTGCAGCCTCACCAGAGCTGAGTATAGGGGCACAATCCCTTCCTTCGTCCTGCTGGCCACACTATTTCTGAACCAGGCCAGGATGGCCGCCTTGCTCACCTGGGCACACTGCTGGCTCATGTTCAGACAGCTGTTGACCGACACCCCCAGATCTTTTTCTGCCAGGCGGCTCTCCAGCTACTTTTCCCACCCAGCACTTGTTCCTGTTGAGTATCATACAGCTGGAGCCCATGGACCCAGCCTGTCCAGACCCCTCTGAAGAGCCTTCCTACTCAAGCAGATCAACACTCCTGCCCAGCTTCGTGTCATCTGCAAACTTACTGAGAGTAGATGTGTTCCTCTTATCCAGATCACTGATAGATACTAAACAGAACAGGCCAAACAGATAATTCACTCCATCAAAACTCACCTGGACACGGTCCTGTGTGACCTACTCTAGGTGATCCTGCCAGGGCAGGGTGGGGGTGGACTAGATAATCTTTCGAGGTGCCTTCCAGCCCCTGACATTCTGTGATCCACCACCACTCTTGGTGTCCAACCATCCAGCCAGTTTTTTAACCAGTGAAAATTGCACCCATCCAAGCCATGAGCAGCCAGTTTCTCCAGAATACTGTGGAAAATGGTGACAAAGGCTTGACTGAAGTCTGCATAGGGAACATCCACAGCCTGTCCCTCATCCACTAAGTGAGGTAGGAAAACAAGTTGAGCAAGCAGGACCTGCTGGCTGGGCCTGATCACCTGGTTGTCCTGGACGTGCCGTGTGATGGCACTCAGGATGATGTGCTCCATAACCCTGCCCAGCACCCAGGTCAGACCGACAGGCCTGTAGTTCCCCTGATTCTCCTTCTGGCCCTTCTTGTAGATGGGCATCACATCCACAAACCTCCAGTCCACTGAGTGTAGCAGACAGATGCATGACTGTTTGCCTCATTTCTTGGCATTTTGCAAATCCCCAGCTTGGTCAAAAACAAGACTGGTTTCTGGCCCTGTGAGGCAAACTGGTAAGTGCCAAATGGAATGTGGTGGAGGGAAGCAGGAAACAGATGCCTCAAACAGCCTTGGCCTGAGTATGCATGAAATCAGGAATCTTGAGAAGGCAGGATGGCCTTGCCTCGTAGCATATATCCCATAGAGATAAGGCAATTGTATGTGGTTGTAACGATGAAATGCCCTCCTTCCCTGCCAGACAGGCTATACATTCACATACAGAAAAAGTGCGTATAAATTGAGGTGGAATGAAGCAAAAAGTCAGAAGACATAAGATGAAGAAGAGAAGCAGCATGTAGACAGAGATGAAGATAATAGGAAGAAAAGTGCAGGAGGAGATGATGGCATCCTTGAAGCCTTGTTGGCAGGACCAACACAGGAAACCAGACCAGTCATCTCTGTCTCTCTTTCCTCTCCACCTCTTACCCCCTCCCCCTTTATCTTTCTTTCCCTTTCCCCTTTCTCACTAAGTAATGCAAGGCCTAGCATACTGCTTGCTTAGTTTATATTTAGCTTCTGTCTTGTAATCATGTGTAATACTGCCTGTTAGAAGTTGTTATATGTCCTTTTTCCTTGTTATCATTAAGCAACATGCAGCTTGCTGTAGTTTGTTGTATACCTAGTCTTTTCCCGGTTATCATTAAGTCATAGTACATCGCCTGCCTTAATGTGTCTTGTAACTAAAACCAATTGTCATGAGTCTGATCTATGCATGGTGAC